CATTAAGTGGTTTAGATTCTCCTGTTTGAACAGGGGGTGGGGGCTAGAAGACTTGTAAGGTATCTTCTAACTACCTTATTCTGTATTCTGTAAAATCTGGATGGCACTGTCCCACTGTGCCACACGGGCCAGAAATTATTGTTCTTTAGTTCCTTGTATTGCTGATAAGCAAAGGTTGTTTTTAAACTGTAGCTGGTAATTTTTTTAGGGTTGTGAAGTTTTACATGAATTCTTAAGTTGGTCAAAGACTGAAATAAAAATTCATTGAAAAAAAAAGTTGTGCATCTTTTTGAACAGCGGGCTCGCAGATCATATGTGGTTTTGTTTTTGCTTAGTGCGATATGCAAATGTGGTCTTTGTGGTTTGCAAACCATGATTAACAAGTCTGAAAAAGCGCCAAGCAAGTCACTGAAGCAGGACTCTGGGAAGTTATGCAAACTTTTCCTTAGCAAAACTTGTTTTTCTGTATGCTTGGGTCTGGGTTTTTAAAAAATTATTTTCCCTTTAGTATTTTGTGTTTTTATTTTTTGTATTATGTAAACTACTCAGCGCTTTTTTGGAAATGAAAGGCATGTACATCACCGAAGTAAATAAACAACACTAGTTTTAATGCATTAATCATTCGTTAGTCAATTTTATATGGCCACCCATTGCACGGAAAGTTACTCTGGACAGTGTACAATATTTTTTTTACAATTACATTTATTGCTTTATGGTTATTTTTTTCAGAAATAGCTGGTATGTAACTCGTAAGAGAAATTCTGAGGGTCTCCTTTTATGTTAAAATAATCAAACGTCATTTCTTAGGGCAAGTTGCATATTTTTTTATTTATTTGCATCTCAGCTTTATTATTTTTACAAACCTTTCTCCTCCTATTTCCCCTACAACAACAACCCTGTGAGGTATGTCAGGCTGAGAGAGAGAGAGAGAGAGAGAGAGAGAGAGAGAGAGAGAGAGACTAGCCCAAGGCCACCCAGCTAACTTTCATGGCTAAGATGGGACTTGAACTCATGACCTCCAGCTTTTTAGCCTGGTACTATAACCACTGGACCAAACTGGCTCTCTTAATCATATGTGCAGATATGTTTGCTAACAGATACAGTTGATTTTTTTTTAAACAAATAGATAAATAGTTCTCTGGAGTAAGAATATGAATTTTAAGCTGTAATGTACAGCCTGTTTTCTAATTAGGTGACAAATAAGATTTTATTTTGAGAAGGATTTGATCAGGTGCTTATACTGTGTGTATCTTATCCTAGATTGGCCAATTTTATTCTGCCTCCCAACCAAATCATTGCTTAATTGGAAGCTTCCATTATGATGCTAGCAGCATTATTTTGATACGCAGATTTGGGTTACACCAAGCTCTCTTCCTACATCCAGATTCCCCTAAGAAAATAACAAGGAATATGAAGTTCTGGTCTTGATTTGCTTTCATTAGAGACTATCAAGGCTGTTCTGGAGTCAAAGCAGAGGTGGGATTCAGCAGATTTTGACCAGTTCTGGAGAACCGGTAGCGGAAATTTTGAGTTGTTTGGAGAACCGGCAAATATCACCTCTGACTGGCCCCGCCCCCATCTGTTCTCCGCCTCCCACTGAGTCCCAGCTGATCGGCTGGGTCTCCTTTGGTTGCCCTGCACAGGAGAACAGAGCTGGAAAGCAGGTTAGTAGGATGGGGAGGGGAGGGAAGGGGGATTTTGCAGTATCCTTTCCCTGCCACGCCCACCAAGCCACACCCACCAAGCCACGCCCACAGAACCGGTAGTAACATTTTTTGAATCCCACCACTGAGTCAAAGTATAGTTTAATCTCCCCGCATTTCAATTTAACCAATGATCAAGCGGTGGAAAAGACGTGTCAGTCTCACATACCCTTGAGATTTTATTAGAATTGCAGACTTCAGTTTTCTCTTCCTATCCTAATTGTATATAAGCACCTACTTTTCCTAACTCTTTTTTTCTTACGAGAAGTAACAATATCAATCTGCAGCTGATTTTTCTGGAAATGTCATCTTCTCTCCAGCACTTTTCGTAATCATTACCTCTTAATTAAACTGTCAGTTTTGCTCAAAGACGAGCTTCCCATTCATTTATTAGAACATCTCAGATAATTAACCTGTGGCAAGATCAGTTCATCCTGTTCCTGATCAAACATCTGAAGGTTTTCTTAGTAATGATGATGTGTTTTACATCAGCAGACAAGATTGCGCTGGAAACTCATTCGGCAGACGGCAAATTATAACTGAAGCTCATGTATTTCATGGTATTGTGGACGCATGCTTTTTTCATGTATAATGTCCATTACTTGATCAAATTTCTATGCTGGTATGTCCTGGCTCATGAACAGCAGGTTTGTAGATAAAAGTTGCATGTCATTCCTAAAATGAAAAATTAATATCCTTGGGAGATATCACTAGCATATGGTTGGTGCATCACGGAAAGTTCTCTTTCAGTTTGCAGGCAGGCGGAAATATTCACAAAAAACATTATTGAACATATTTGTGTAAAGGGTGATGTAGAAATATCTATGGAGATTCTCAGGTCATCCAGGTCATGCTTGGACTTAAGAAAGTAAGTTAAGAAAGATTGATAATTTATTTCAGTTGGATATCACTTCTGGATTTTGTGCTTTTTCAAAAGGCAACTGGACTTTCTGGTTTTTCTTTGAAGATGTTTCGCTTCTCATCCAAGAAGCTTCTTCAGTCAATTGGACTTTCTTTGTTTTTCCTTGAAGAAACAAGAAGCTTCATCTGACGAACTGAAGAAGGTTCTTGGATGAGAAGCAAAACTTTTAAAATTTCTTTTATGAAACTTGTAATTGCTTTTCTTTTTTTTCTGAATTAATCAAAGAGGTCAAACAATGGAAAGCAGGAGTGATTCTTTAGGGAGAATTAGAATTATTCCCAAAAGCCTTGACTTTGCTTTCCAAAAAAAGTCCACAAGTGTCTATGGAAATTCTCAGTCATGGTCTTCAGAGCTGAAGAAGCTTCTTGGATGAGAAGCGAAAGGTCTTCAAGGAGAAACAAAGAAAGTCCAGTTGCATTTTTAAAATGCATCACTTTTGGGTGATGTAGAAACATGACTTGGCTCATCTTCACAGGATTTCACAAATTTCTATATTACCTGCATGCGCAGGAAGAATGTGAAAAATGACCAGCAGTTTTCAAGGTTGCAATTGAAATATAATGCAGAGACATGCTGTTTTTCTTCTGTCTTTTTCGTGGTTATGCTGTGTAAATGGCGCTCCAGAGGAGACTGTATTGGTATCATATTGTTGATCAGCCAAGACTTAATAGAATTGTAGCTCTTGAACTTTCTTGATGTTATCAAGTCGTCTCCAGAGAGATCCAATTTTTATGCTGGGCCTAGAAAGTGAACAACAGTTGAAAAAACATGAGGAAAATAACACCAACCTTGAATTATACTTCTTGGCTTCTCTTCTTATAGGACATAATGGTTTGCTAAAGAATGCCCTTTACAACATTGGGTTTCTGGTGTGGCTTGAACAGGGTTCTTGGGGTAGCTCAATCCTTTTTAATCTCTTGATCTTCATTTTTTTCCTGTATTCTATGTTTGAGTTTGTTCTGGACTGACCCCTCTTCTGAATCTCTGAGGATCAGACGTGAAAGCTGATCTATTGAATACTGTTTATGTAGTGCATACATATGGCAGGAAATTGGGGATGCTTGGACTTATGTTACTAGTTAAGAAAGATAGATCATTTATTTCATTTGGATATCACTTCTGGATTTTGTGCTTGTGATGGAAAAAAAATGAAACTTTGGCTTTGGTTTTGTTGGTCAGAAAGATTCGTTGTTATAGAAATGGCTAGTTATATATTAATGTGTAAAAGCAAAAAGTTAGTGTGATTTAATCTTGTACTGTGCTAAGAGTCTGTAATCAATGCCTTTTTTTAATCCTTTTTTTCCGTTGTATCTCACACCCCCTTTTCCTCGCTTCTTTTCCTTCCCTTAATTTCCTATTCCTGTTTGTTTTTTTCTTTGTATTTTATTTAATAAAACAAATTAAAAAAAGAAAGAATGGTGAACTCCAATAAAAGAAAACCCAACTCTGCTATTTATTAGTTTGTCCATGTTTATTAGTTTGAAGCGATTTTCCCCCCAACGATGGGAAACACATTCCTTGATCAGTCTTTGAAGTCTGTCCACCACAAGGAAAAATTGGTGTAATTATATTCTTCGCTGCCACTCACAATACAGATGTCCTTCAGTGCACACCTGTTATTATCCCTAATTCAGACGGGATTCCATCATTCCGCTTTGAGGGGGCCCTTATTATCTTCTTACATATTTTCCAAAATTGAGGATACATCTGTGTATCAAATTAGCCTCTCACCTTGATGATTCCTTGCTTTTTCATTCAGTACCTGGGAGGGATAGAGTCATTTAGGACCAAGCTCTTGTGCATTTTTATTGCCTCCTTTGATTACAGTTATGTTCTAAATTAACACTTTCCCCAGTTTTGGTCTGAGTGCATTGGAAATGGTCTGTACGGTCTTGAGTAAGATGAAGCCATTTGCAAACTGCCTGAACACGACTTGGCATACTTGTGGGTGATTTGTTTGACAGAGATGATGTAATGGACAGGACTTGACTAGTTCAACCTGTTCCACTAGATTTGGCCTAATCTGATACGTTTATTTTTAAGGCTTGTACCCTGCCTAGCTCCACAGACTTTGAGATCACACGCTCAAGAAGAACAATAAGGAAAGAAAAATAATCTTCACAGGTACTTTTCCTTCAGATGTAGAGTTGTTGGAGCAAGGTACCAGCGAATTGATTCACCTTGCAAGGACTCTACTACCATCTGATGTAGTTGTTGTAGTAGAATCTTGTCTCCTTCCTTGAAAGCTTGTAATGTAATGTAAACATTGTATTTTGACAATGTTTTTAGTGTCTTAATCTTACCAAACTTGGTATCAGTGGATACATTTCCAACTGTCCTTCCTTCCTTCTGGTTTCCAGCCCAGGGGTTTGAATTTCTAATTTCATAAAGCCCAGGAAATGTGAGATCACTTGTGAAATGGCCTTTTTGAGATGTGATGTGATTTACCTCAGAGGTGATATTCAGCAGGTTCTGACCAGTTCTGGAGGACCAGTAGCAGAAGTTTTGAGTAGTTCGGAGAACCAGCAAATACCACCTCTGACTGGCCCCACCCCCATCTATTCTCCACCTCCTATTGAGTCCCAGTTGATTGGCTGGGTCTTCTTTTGTTGCCCTGCATAGGAGAATGGAGCTGGAAAGCAGGTTAGTGGGGTGGGGAGGGAATGGGGATTTTGCAGTAATCTTCCCCCAGGAGTGGGGGGAGAATGGAGATTTTACAGTATCCTTCCCCTGCCATGCCCACCAAGCCACGCCATGCCCACAGAACTGGAAGTAAAAATTTTTTGAATCCCACCACTGATTTGCCTGTTATCCAAGTGCATAAGTGTGTAAAGGAAACCAAGCCACTGCAATGAGTGGATAAAATCAAACTTCACTATTTTCTGTTTAGCGATGCTGTTAAGAATATGGGCTAAGGAAAAATATTCCCGGTGATGTTGGATCTTAATTTCACGCAGTTGACAACTCACGTCGCTCTAAGATATGAAGAAATTCATGCTGGCATATGTTTTTAAAACTTCATTTCTTGTAAGGGTAATTGTTCAGTTCAGAAAGCAATCATGTTTCCAGAACGGTGTGATTTTTTTTTTCAATTTGGAAAATGAAATATTTTAACATGCTGTGCACATGTACACAAAATATATCAAGATATATTTTGATATCATTTTTTTAAAAGGGAAAGAAGATCAGACTTAATGCTGTAGCTTGTTGTTGGGACAGAACATTTACATTTTGCGGATTAAGATTAAGATCTGATAAAATAGAGAAAAGAGGAAAAATGCTGTTTTGGAGGTTTTTTTAGATAAAAAACCCCACGCATTTCTGTGATATATATGCTACAATTGAGCGATGATTGGTTTTAAAAAGCTCTTTTTCTTGTTGTTGTTGATCTCTTGTGGTTCTCCTACCTAAAATATTTCAGAAATGTGGGAAAAAACATCTTAAAAGCATCAAAGTATAAATCAGCATATTTATAATGAGAACTTTCTTTTGTTGCTGTGCTGCAATAATTCTTTATTAAGGTTCTTTATAATAAGCAAAAGTTTGCTGTCATTGAGAGTTATTTCATTTGTAGTTTATATCCCTTAGACTTAATTGTAGCATTTAAAAGTCTTGGGGGGATTTTTTTTAAATGTATGTCAAATCACACAAAATAACATTTAGATCTATATTTAGCCAGCCTAAGCTGTAAATAATTATGGAACATCTGGAGTTGGTAAAGGGATGAAGGATAGCTTGCTAGAAGTAACTTTACTCTAGACTAGGCAACTCTGATTTTTCCCATGTTCGTCTCTCATTTTGTGTTGCTGAAAATGAAAAGGCGCTCTCGAGTTTCATTGTAATCTTGGGCCATTTGGAGACGTAGGGATGGTTATCTACATTACAGATTAGCCTATTTTGAAAAAGGCAGCTATGGATTTCCATTTACATCTGCAAATTTATTTTTAAAGCAAGCAACATATTAAGAGTGAAATCCATAGAGTCTGGGACGAGAAGAAGAAAACAGTATTTGCCTAAGAAACATTATCGTGTTTTTTTCTTTTAATGCTTTTTATTGCTTCATCTTTTAATTGAAAAAAAAAAATAACAATACTTATTTTCAGGTTTCCCGACTTTTTGTGACAAAACCCAGGTTAAGATGGCATGTATTGATTTTTTTTAAAAAAATTATAGCCTATCGAACTGCAGCAAAAAACCATGTAAGCATCATATCAACCACACCGATGGAACAGCTTGCTGCTTACAGTCAAACTGGTTTCCCTTTTAGAGTATTTAAGAAGTTGATTATATAAACTGTATAAACTACAAATAGGAGATTCTAATCTAGCCCAAGACTAATAATATGAAGCGCACCAGATACTTTGGTAAGGAAGACAGAAGAAGACAAGCAAGTAGTTCTTCATTTGATCTTAGTTGTAGGCAGTGGTGGGATTCAAATTTTTTTACTACCAGTTCTGGGAGCATGGCAGGTATCGTGTGACTTGGTGGGTGTGGCTTGGTGGGCGTGGAAGGGGAAGGTTACTGCAAAATCCCATTCCCTCCCCACCCCACTAACCTGCTTTCCAGCTCCATTCTCCTGTGCAGGGCAACCAAAGAAGACCCAGCCAATCAGCTGGGATTCGGGAGGCAGAGAATAGATGGGGGCGGGGCCACTAACCTGCTTTCCAGCACTGTTCTCCTGTGCAGGGCAACCAAAGAAGACCCAGCCAATCAGCTGGGATTCGGGAGGCAGAGAATAGATGGGGGCGGGGCCAGTCAGAGGTGGCATTTGCCAGTTCTCCAAACTACTCAAATTTTCTACTACCGGTTCTCCAGAACTGGTCAGAACTGGCTGAATACCACCTCTGGTTGAAGGAGATGAGCAGGTGGAGGGGTTAAATGTATCATAAGTTTAGAATACTTATGTTCCCACATCCAGCATCCCCATCTGTGAATTCCCTTGACTGTCAACTAGCACCAATTTAGCTTGACTGTTAGTAGATCAGATTCTTGTGTATAGGTAGCATGAAACAAACTTTTATTGCCTTGAATTCCCCTCCTGTTCCTGGTTTCTTGCAACTGACAGTAATGGAAAGAAGAGTTTGTCCCTTAACCTGGTCTGTGGAGAGGATCAGCCCTGAAACTCTTCTTCCATTTGCTGATTCCTTTCATGGTTATCTCCTTGAAGTTGATACTTGGTTGCCCCAAAAATCCAGACTCTTCCTACATTTTTTTTAAAAGACATCTAATTATCTTCTGAGAAGATACATATTTAACTAAATGGTATATCTGTTCCTGAGGGCTCTTATGGACGAATGATGTAGAAATCAGACATTCTCAATTGTTTTTTGTCTTGAAGTCATGAACCTCCTTGCAGGAGATGTACAACAGTTACTTTCTGGGTTTTTCTTCTTCTTCTTCTCATCCAAGAAGCTTCTGGAAAGTCCAGTTGCCTCTTGAAAAAGCACCTTTGAGACAACCAAGACCTGGATGACTAAGAATCTCCATAGACTTTTACCGTTGTACAGTACAGGGGTTTCCAACCTACCTGGACATTCCTGCCTATCCAGATATTGGTGGAAACACTAATTGGTGAGAAGAACTTGATTGGGTCAGTTTGATTATGAGCAGACTGTTTTTAAGTGTGTGGTCCAGAACCTGCAAACTACCATTAAGTTGGTAGAAAAGAAAATGATACCATTCTGAAGGAGTAAAAAAACAAAAATATTTTGACACTTTTTTAAACATAGTGGCAAAGGTGCTTGATTTCCAACTTTGTAGGTTCCACAGATACTATTCCAAGGCTCTTCAAACTTGGCAAGTTTAAGACTTGTGGACTTCAACTCCCAGAATTCCCGCGCTAACATGACTGGGGGAGGAATTCTGGGAGTTGAAGTACACAAGTCTTAAAGCTGTCAAGTTTGAAGACCCCTGTACTATTCCCTCATAAGCTGATGTGTCCACAAGATGGTGCCCTTATCCTGGCAACCGCCCCATTCCACAGAAGGGAAGATGGACTATTGTTCCAGAATTGGTTCCCGATCTCCTCAGATTTCTTTTAAAGGTTGTGACTGTGTGAAGCCATCTATATAGTTTAAATTTCAACTATGAAGTTGTGAATTTATTTATTTTTGCGGCAATCTCCAAATGGAAGAATGATGATTTTCAATCAAAAAAAAATCTAATCATTTTATTTACTTTTACCATCTGAAGAATGATCTTGTTCAAAAATGGCCTTCTTTTCCAAATGGGGATGCTGATGTTACATGTTTTGCCTAAGCCATCATGAAGTAGCAATAGCAATAGCATTTAGACTTATATACTGCTTTACAGCCCTCTCTGAGCGGTTTACAGAGTCACCCTATTGCCCCCAGCAATCTGGGTCCTCATTTCACGCACCTCAGAAGGATGCCAGGCTGAGTCAACCTGGAGCCTGGTGGGATTTGAACTGCCAAATTGCAGTCAGCCGGCAGTCAGCAGAAGTAGCCTGCAGTACTGCACTCTAACCACTGCGCCACCGTGGCTCATAAAAATATAATTTTATTCCCAAAATAATCACTTTTCAAAAGCTAATTTCATTGATACTACCTTGGAGCAGCAGAAAATATGTATTTACTATTAGTGTGGCTGTCCTAAAAATATTTGGAGATAGTATAGAATCATAGAGCTGGAAGGGACCATGGAGGTCTTCTATCCAAACCTATTACTCAATACAGGAGACTTATACTGATAACAGATAACAGATATCGGAGTTGGAATGGGACTTTAGAGGTCATCTGGTCCAATCCCCTGCCCAAGTGGGAAACCCTACACCATTTCTGACAAGTGGCAATCCATTTGGGTCTAAGTCTACATGGAGGGAAGTAAGCAGTGGGGTGCCACAAGGTTCCATCAGAGGCCCAGTACTCTTCAATATCTTCATTAATGACTTAGATGAAGGAATAGAAGGGGAACTTACCAAATTTGCAGATGATACTAAGCTGGCAGGAATAGCTAACACCCAAGGAGATAGGCTCAAGATCCAGATGGATCTTGACAGACTAGAACACTGGGCCCTATCTAACAAAATGAAATTCAATGTAGAGAAAAGTAAAGTCCTACACTTAGGCAAGAAAAACCAAAAGTACACATATAGACTGGGTGAAACCAGGCTCAATAGCAGGAATTGTGAGAGGGATCTTGGAGTCTTAGTGGACAACCAGCTAAATATGAGCCAGCAGTGTGCAGCCACCGCCCCAAAAGCTAATGCAATCCTAAGTTGTATTAACAGATCAAGATCAAGATCAATGGAAGTACTAATACCATTCTATAAAGCCTTAGTAAGACCCCATCTAGAGTACTGCATCCAGTTTTGGTCACCACATTATAAAAAAGATGTTGAGACTCTAGAAAAAGTACAGAGAAGAGCAACCAGGATGATTAGGGGACTGGAAACTAAAACATACAATGAACGGTTGCAGGAACTGGACTTGGCTAGTCTAGTGAAGAGAAGGACCAGGGGAGACAGGATAACAGTCTTCCAATATTTGAAGGGCTTCCACAGAGAGGACGGGGTCAAGCTATTTTCTAAAGTTCCTGTAGGCCAGACAAGGAATAATTGATGGAAACTGAACAAGGAGAGATTTAACCTGGAAACAAGGAGAAGCTTTCTGACAGTGAGAACAATCAACCCATGGAATAGAAGTTGCCCTCTGAAGTTGTGGGAGCTTCATCACTTGAGACTTTCAAGAAGAGATTGGACTGCCATTTGTCAGAAATGGTGTAGGGTCTCCCGCTTGGGTGGGGGGTTGGATTAGATGACCTACAAGGTCCCTTTCAACTGTGATTATCTGTATCTGTATCCGGGTTTTGCAGAACAATCTCTTCTTGAAAGTCTCAAATGATGATGCTCCATAACTTCCGAAGGCAACTTTTGTTCCATGGGTTGATTGTTCTCACTGTCAGAAAGTTTCTCCTTGTTTCCAGGTTAAATCTCTCCTTGTTCAGTTTCCATCCATTATTCCTTGTCTGGCCTATAGAAGCTATTTAGAAAATAGCTTGACCCCCTCCTCTCTGTGGTAGCCATCCCAGTCAAATGATTGTCCAGATTTTGAAAACCTCCAATGTTGGAGCACCCACAACTCCAGGGGCAAGCTATTCCATTCATTAATTGCACTCACTGTCAAAAAATTTTCTCCTTATTTATAGGTTGAATATCTCTTTCACAAGCTTCCACCCATTACTTCTTGCCCTGCCGTCGGATGTCCCAGAGAATAAATCAACCCCCTCTTCTCTGTGACAGCTCCTTCAGTACTGGAAGACAGCTACTGTGTCCTTCCTAATCGTTCTTTTCAGTAGGCTAGACATGTTCCTCAACCATTTGTCATACAATTTAGCCTCCAGACTCTTACCATCTTTCTTCTTCTTCTCTGCACACTTTCCAGGATCTCAACATCTTCTTTCTACTGTAGTGACGAGAACTGGATGCAGTATTCCAAGTGTGGTCTCACTAGTGTGGTCTAAAGTGGTAGCATTACTTCTCATTGTCTTGATGCTCTCTCTGTGTTGATGGGTTACATTGGGCTTTTTGGCAGCTGCAGGACACTGCTGGCATGGTGACGGTTGTATTGCCTCTCAGTCAGGGGTGGGCTTAAAATTTTGTAGTAACGGCCCGGTTGCTGGGTGGGCGTGGTCATGGTGGGTGTGGCCTAGTCAGCCTTCGGCATAATGGTGGAAGGCCCGTTTTTGCCCTCCCTGGGCTCTGGAGGCCCTCTAGAGGCTGGAAACGGGCCCATTCCTGACCTTCTGGAACTTCCAGAAGGCATATTTTCTCCCTCTTCAGGTTCCGGAAGCTTTCCTCAAGCTTCCAGGAGGGTGAAAATGGCCTCCTCCATGCTCTGGAGGCTGCAAATGGGCCTGTTTCCGGCCTTCCAGAGCCTCTGAGAGGCCTGTTTTTTGCGTTCCTCGAGCCTCCACACAGGCTCTGTACTTACCTGGGATCCAAAATGGGCCAACGTAGAGACTCCTGGGAGGAGCGGGGCAGGCGGGGCCGGCCACGGGTGGTATTTACCGGTTAGCTGAACTGGCCATTAAAAGTGATAAAATTAGCTACCATTTCGCTCGAACCGGGGAGAACCAGTAGCAGTCCACCCCTGCTCTTAGTTATCTACCTCTTTTTCCAAACTGTATGACCAAATAGTCTGTTCAGGGCTGTGAAACACGAAGAGGCACCGATAGAGAAGAACACTTGTAGCTTAGGGTCCTTGGTGCTCTCTGAGCTTGGTTGTTTTCTTGCAGACATTTCATTACCAAACTAGGTAACATCATCAGGGCACACACTAAGAGGCATTGCAAAACCTCTCTGGATGTTCCATTGCTTGTTAATTTGGGTGCGGGGTGAGAGGTGAAGTGCCCTCCTGAGCTCACCAACCTTCAGTGGATCCACAATTACATTTTTTGAAATTACTGATACTTGGGAAATCTATGTTAGTGACATATATCTTTGAGTTAATTTTACCTTCCTAAAGGTTATTACCATGATTCACGTCTTTGTAAAGGTTCATAACAGCAGGCCACCTATCACCCCTTGGCATTTGAGCATGAAAAAAATATGTTTCACAGTAATTAACAAATCAAGTTTAAGTTTCTGAAAAAGGAATAAGCATTTATTTTCATTCGCTCAATAAGGGCTAGGCATTCTTTTAAAGAATGGTGTGCACATCTGGAATTTTGAAGGAATATTTCTGTGTTTGAATAAACTGGCAGCTGGCAGGAAATTGCTTATTTAAATATATCTTCCATAGAAGTCAGGAATAAACACAAGCTAACTGTTATAGGAAAACATAGTTAGGAGATTGCTCTTCTCACCCTATTAATCTATCTAAAATGTTGTGTACCATTACCTTTTTTTCTTAACAGCTGGATGCACTTCCCAATTAGGAAGCTTTAATTTTATTTCTCCACTAGATTTGTATCCTGCCTTTCCTCCAAGAGTAGAAGGCACTTTATGTATTTTTTTCACAGCAATAACCTGTAGTATAGGTTGGTCCAAGAGGTAGTGATCATCCAGTCAGTTTTTACAACCAATAAAGCATAGATGCTGTCACCAGAGCAAAGCTGAATTCAATAGGTATTTACATTTTGTTAGCAACCAAAGCAATGGTGTTATCTACTGGTTTGGCCAACCTGGTAGAAAAAAAAGACCCCAACGATCAGCTGAGAGGAGGAAAAAAAGACCCCAACGATCAGCTGAGAGGAGAAAGAAGAAAAAAGCGCAGGACCAGCCCTCCTACCCGCCCTTGTGCTTTTCTCTTCTTTATCCTCTCAATTGATCGGCGCTGCAGGACTCAGCTAGTCTGTGGAAAGCTGCGCGTGCACCTTAGTTGTGCGTGTGCCTACGATCACCAAACTGGTAGTGGAATAGGTAGGATCCCACTGCTGAACCACAGAAACAGATAATCCTTGACTTACAAACTTTCATTTAGCAATTGGGTACAGGTAGTCCTCGTCTTACAACGGTTGACCGTTCAAAGTTACAACGGCGCTGTAAAAAGTGACTTACGGCCATTTTTCACACTTATGACCATTGGAGCATCCTCATTTTAACATGATTAAAATTCAGATGCTTGGAAACTGGTTCATGTTTATGATGATTGCATGACCTCCTTTTGCGACCTTTCTGACAAAGTCAAGGGGGAAGCTAGATTCACTTAACCGGGTTACTAAGTCAACAACAGCAGTGATTCACTTAACTAAGCCAAGAAAAGTCATGAAATGGGGCAAAAACTCACTTAAATGTCTCATTTAGCAACATAAATTTTGGGCTCAATTGTGGTCATAACTCGAGGACTACTTATCCTTAAAGAGAAAAGGGGTGTCCTATATTTTTCATTCAACATACTAAACCCATCCTAGTGTCCTGATTTAAAAAGAAACAGCAATATTTATCTTTATATTGAGAGTCTGATTAAAAAAATAGTGAGAAGGCTATGTTCATAGGATATAACCGGTCTTTCTATTTGTCCCAGTTCTGTACTTAATTAGTAACTGTATTGTTAACTATTAAATCTAGATTTTGAAAGAAACTATAATAGACCAGGCAAACTAGTTCTGTTGTACATTTATAATATATCAAAGAAAATATATTAATAGAGTAGGAAGGTCATTAATTCTTATTGTGTGTTGTTCTCTAGGTATTCCTGAAAAATGGATGATGACTACTTTGGAGGATTTGAGGTATGGAAATCAAAATATTGAAATGTTTGCCCATGATATTTTCAATAAGTAAAGCTGTGTAGGACACTCCAGCATTCAAAATTTGAGAGCAGAGCAATGGATAGTTACTGTTGTGGCCTACCAGTGGCTAGTGGATCTGGCAGCAGAGTCAGACAGTAAGGAGGTTGGGGAGGAACATGGGGCAGTCTTGGAGGCTGAGGAAGACTCGGACAAGGGCTCTGCGTCAGAGGCAGAGATGGGGCAGGGCAGTCTGGCAGTTATCAGCTACCTTTGGAGTAGGGCAGCAGTGAGGTGGGAGAGAAGCTGGAGCTGGTTCCCAGCCTGCGCATGCACAGAGCTGCCAAAAGAAAAGAACAATTATGAACTAAGGGTTGATGTGGGGGGTAAAGCCACAGGTGGAGGGTGAATGGCCCTTTGTCATGCCCCTGGTGGAGACTGACTCTGAGGGACAGGAGGAACAGCCGACAGGGAGTGGAAGTGTGGCTCTGGAGGTTGTGGAGGAGGCTGGGGAAGGGCAGAGGCCGGCTGGTCAGTCAGAGGAGGACCCAGGCCCATATCCTCTCCATCTGAGGGCACACAGGGAGGAGAGGATAAGGGAGAAATGTGATCTACGGGAGAGGAGAGGCTTTGATCCTCTTTATGGGCTGCAGTTGTGACAACTGGATAAGAGGACGGACACGCATACAGACCAGTGCTGGAAACAAAGCATGGAAATATCTCTAGTTTATTGTTCCTCTCTGAGTTTGGCGTCCTTCCCAGTGTGTGTTCTAATATCTGTGGACGTTTTCAAGCCCTTATCTTGCCTGGTTTGTGTTGTTTTTTTTACTCTTTATAATTTAAATGGCATTTCCTCCTTCTTGTAACTGCTTGTTAGGAGTATTTTGTCTCCAGTCAAAGATATTTGGAACTTGGAAGCAAAGTGAAGGAATAAAAGGGGCTTCACCTGTTTTCTGTGACTGTGTTTATTTTGTATCCTACTCTTGGGTCATCACACCCTTCCTATAGGGATTAAAAGAGGAGCAAAAGGGGAGGGGCTTTTGCAGGAAACAATTCGTTCAGCAGTGTGAAGATCTGTCTGTGCATCTCAGAGACTCTGGGCTGAGTCCTTCCTTGTCAGCACTGCGTTTGAAAATATTTACTTGGCAGCTCTCCAAGCTAGATAAGTGTGCTCTTACACCCTTGAAAGACTGTTTGCCAGGCCTTTGGCTGAATGTGAATGCAAGAAATTCACCTTCGTTTAACAAAAGGGGTTTTGCCGGGACAAAGAATCCACTTAGTGCTTTTTGGGAAAACTTAGATCAGAACAGTTATGTGTAAATCAATCAATCATCTATAATGTGTCAGATTCTAATTTATGTAACTTTATTACGGTTTTATCAGTTGTTAAGAAGGTCAAGAAAACCACAATTTACATTTGAAATGCCCGGAACGTTCAGTTGCTTCTCTGAATATCAATAAGTAAAATTTATCCCAATGTTCAGAACTGGACTATAAATGTTGAGCACATCTGAGGAATTCTGAGTTTCAATCTTTTGATTGCTTTCGCAGACTAGCTTATATTTGTTTCCCCTCTTTACTAAATTGGCTTGTTCTTGTGTTTTGAAAGTGGCCTATTTTGTCAGAGCCCCCAATTTCTGCCTCCTGATATGGTGGTTCTTTCCTTGAAGGAGCTCCCCTTAAGATCCTTCAGAGTCTGAAACCTCGTCTGCGGAAGGAAATTGGGTCTGGTTGATTGCATGCTATAAAGTCGCTGGTGCCACTTTTTTTTTTTTTTGTGGGGGTGGCATTTCATCTCTCCCCCCCGCCCCTTTTTTTTTCCTAACAGAGTGCCAAAAGTTAAGAATACAGGAAGCTGGTTTATACCGGTTGGGGGAGCCAAGAGAGTGAATTTCCTGACCGTTGGGCCAATGTTTAATATAAAGTTATGCCAAACTTCACATTTTTGTATAAGAAAATATTTTTTGGCATAAATAAACAGCCAATCAGGATAAAGTAACAGCGCTCATGCACTAGTAATCAAGGAGAGCAGCAACCTAGAATTAAGGAGAAACTTCCTAACAGTGAGAACAATCAACCGGTGGAACATCTCGCCTTCAAAGGTTGTGAGTGCTCCATCACTGGAGGCTTTCAAGAAGAGACTGGCAGATACTTGTCTGGAATGGTATAGGGCAGGGGTGTCAAACTCAAGGCCCATGGGCCGGATCTGGTCTGCGGGGTGCTTAAATCTAGCCCGTGGTGCCTCTGGCAGCCAAAACCGGCCAAGTGCGGCCCCCCGGCCCATTTTTGGGTGCCAAAAACAGCCTCCAAATTAGACTGAAAAATGTCCAGAAACAGGCTGAAAAATGGCCCAAAATGGGTTGCAGCTGGCAGAGTGCTTCAGGAGGCAATGGAGGGTGAAAATGAGGCATGGGGGGGCTACGTGCAGACTCCCCGTGCCCCATTTTGGCCAGCACAGTGCTGCAGGAGGCATCCATCCTGCCTCCCCACCCCCCCACCCCATCCACCCACGGAAGAGAACTACAAATGCTGATTTGGCCCTCAAAGAAATCCAGTTTGACACCCCTGGTATAGGGTCTTCTGCCTGAGCAGATGGAACAGAACAGGGGTCACCAACTTTTTGGACTTCAGGGACCACCAGACTCATAATTTAAAACCCACAGACCAGAGACCCTGGGAAAATCCCCCCAAAAGTCTGCAGGAAAATTCCCCACCCTGTTTTCCTACCGATCGATCATTCTTTATTTAGGGATTGCAGGATACCGTCTCCAGCTCCATTCTCGGGGGTGGGGGGTGGGGTGGGGGAGAGGCTTTTGGCTTCATGCAAGGAAAGCAACAGAAGCCTTTCTTTCTCTTCCCCAAACTCCACCAGAAATGAGTCTTTGCTGGCGCAGCCTCTTGGAGCAGGAGGCCTTGCAGGGTCCCAAAGACTCATTTCTGGGGGAGTTTGGGGGAGAGAAAGAGAGACGTTTGCTGCTTTCCTTGCATGCAGCCAAAAGCAGAAGAAGAAAGAAGCAGAAAGAACAGCACGGTGGTCAGGCCAGGCGCGTGGGGCTAGTGGGGCAAGTTCCCCCCACCTCCGCCCTTTCCTTCCTCCCCTCACTACCTCGTGTTGTTCGCAATGCAAGCAACGCAAGCCTTATGTTCCCATGGGCCATGTGTGCCGCACAGCCTTGTATTTCCACGCAGCCTGGATTAATTGCTTTGGGGGTGACGTTTCTCTGTAGACTACCAACATTTTCTCACGGACCACCAGTGGTCCCCGGCCCTCTGGTTGGCGACCACTGGACCAGAAGGCCTCCAAGGGACCTCCTTCCAACTCTATAATCTGTAACTGTCTAGTAAAACAGGTCAAAGATGTCACAGTATTTGATTATATACCATATATAAGTATAATTCATTTGTTGAAGGCAGATTTTGATGTGGCCGTTTTCTCTGGTATCGTATTATTGATGAAAGCGCTTCTTGCAAGATAAATACGCAGATTACAAGGCCAACTGAACTGCAGTCTTAGTAAAGTTAAAATAGCATGAAAAATGACTTTCTATCAAAATCATACAAAAATGGTGCCATGATGAAATAGCCATCATCTGGGGAGCTGAAGGCCACATGTAGGCCTACATTGCAAAGCGTAAATAGTCTGAGGGGAAATAAAAAAAGCCTAGATTTGATTTAGTTCAAGTACATCCAAGTACAATTAAATACATTCTCATGCTCATTTGTGTCGTGGAGCTCCCCTCGGAAATGTGGAGCCCTGGGCACCAAACTGGAAACCGAGTGGCACTGCTTGGAAATTCTTCAAATTAATAATGGAACAGTGAAGAAAATCTTGTCCCTAGCTTAACAATATGCTTTTTGTACTTTCAGGCTGCAGATATTTTTTTTAAAGATGGAAATGGTGAACCCCAGAAAACCTCTCCTGCTATTCCTTGGGCAGCATTTTCCACAGGTATAGAGAAATACTGGTAATTTGTGTGTGTGTGTGTGTGTGTGTGTCTTCTTATGAGTTTTTCTGACTACTTTACTGGGGGTGGTGTTAAGAGAGAAATCAGTCTGGAATCATTACATTCCCACAAGCGAAATCCAGCCTCTTGACTTCCGTTAATTCTGATTTAGTGCTGACCGTTAGTTGACCAGATTTTAGTGTATAGGCTTGAGCAAAAAATCTTAATGGCGACATAAAGTGTGGTACTTTGTGCCTGACGTTAATGTACATTAGTCCTTCCTTTTATTTCATACTCACATATACTGTGTTTCTCCCAAAATAAGACGCTGTCTTATATATTTTTTTCTGCCCAAAAAAGGCACCAGGTTTTGGGGCAAAGTCACCCACTGACTAACCTCACTTGCACGCGTTGCACCTGGCCTCTTTTTCGCTTTCAGGGCCGTTCAGGAACTTCTTCTTGTGCGGCCGATAAGGCTTTCCTGAAGGCCTCTGGATCGATTCGGAGCTTTGTTATCGGCTCCAGAGGCCTTCAGGAAAGCCTTGCCAGCCTTGCTGCCTGCAGAAGAAATGGGCCGGCAAGGTAGGTGTCGGGATGTGCGAGGCCTGGCTACAACTGTCCAAAGGTAAGTAATAGGGCAGCTTCGCTCCCCCATCCCTATCCTAGCTTATTTTTTACCTGCGCACTCTGGAGTGGATGAGATCTTAATTAGGGCTTATTTTGGGGTGGTGGTGGTGTAGGGCTTATATTGGGTGCACATGTAAAAATCAAGCAAGGACTTACTTTCAGAATTTCTCAGCTTGAAAAAGATGTTTTGACCTCTCTTTAGCTTTGAGTTTCTTCACTGTAACTGATTGGAATAATCCCATGAAAGATCAGTTCAATCATCTTGCACATTTCTGAAGGAAAGTGAAGTTCCCATGCTTATAAATACTGCTAGTAAAATAATGCTTCCAACCAGTACTGTCTTATAATAAGGGTTATTACAGTATATTTCTCCATAAGTATAAAATTACACCGTATTTCTCTTGGGTTCTCAAGATGCCTTACCCGATAATCTTTATAACAATTTAGTGAGATGTTGTGAACAACTTAGTGAGAAGTTCTGCAGTGGAGAAGAAGTCAAGCATTAGATGTTTGATTCTGAGAAGGAGTGGAGATTCGAATTATGGATTTGCCCTAGTGCAATTTTATCCTTCTGTCTGTATAGAATATGAAAAAAACCTAGATCTTGTGCAAATTCTCTTTGGGTTGTGCGGGGTAGACAGACACCAATTAAGCAAATCTGTTTGGCCTGCTGCCTAAGCCATTTTCCAAATCAACATAGCTGCAGAATGTATAGAATTCTTGCTATACATTTATTTTGCTTCCATAACCTTTCTGCTGTGATTTTTTTTTGTTTGTTTTAGCAGAATTTTTTTTAAAATTTCTATATTTTTCAGTGTATCAACTAGGATTGTTTACCCTTCTAAAACCAGACAATTTTTAATAAAGCATTTTTCTATTCCTCTCATGTTCTTGTCAAAATATATGCATAAAAATACGCATTGCATTTTGGGAATATTTATGGAAAATTCTCTTTTACAGCTAAAACAATTTGAAACTTTCACTCACGATGTTCGCTTGCTCTTATGCTCTTAAATCAGGGAAACTTATCAGAATTGGTAGTATTTTATTTAAAAAAGAAATATGTATTCCTTTACATTTACACACATATACGTGTGTGTGCGTGTTTGTATGTATTTGTGTAAGCATGTGTAAATGGTAAACTAATTTTTGGTAAGTAAAGACATTCAGAACTAACTTATTTTATCTTAAATTTTCTCGCAGCAGTTTTAGTAAGCAAATTTGAGTTTTATTTATATTATAATTCATGGTAATTTGTTGAATTCCTTTGGCTGGTACACCGAGTTGTTATTTTTAGCTTTGCAGAAAGATACAAGCTTTTAAAAACAGATGTCTTATTGAATTTCTTTTTCTTTTGTTTGCATTCCTTTCTCTTTCTTGTTTTTACCAACAGTGCCGGAAATTCTTGTACCACCAACGGTTTCTGCTGAGCTGCTCCTGGAACAGTCTCCGGCAAATGTACCGACAGACACTCAACTATCACCCGATACTTTAAGTGCAACCGATCTTAAAGAGCAGGTAAAACGATTTAATGATTATTATTTTTTTAATGCATGAAACAATACTTTTTAAACATACCCACCGATTGTAAATAAATTGTAAGCAGAGAAGGACAAGGGGTGATAGGATAGCTGTCTTCCAGTCCAGGGACTGTTGCAGAGAAGAAGGGGTAGATCTACTCTGCAAAGCAAAACACCTGAAGGCAGGACAAGAAGGAATTACTGGAAACCCATCAGAGGACCTCGGACTATAAAAATTTCCTGACAGTAAGAACAATTAATCAGTGGAAGAGCTTGCCTTTGGAAGTGGTAGGTGCTTCCATCACTATAGGCTTTCAAGGAGATATTGGAGAGCCATTTGTCTAGAATGGTGTAGGGTCTCTTTCTCGAACACGGGGTTAGACTAGAAAACCTCCAAGGCCCCTTCCAACTCTGTTGTTCTGTGTTCTACATAATAGATCAGTGTGGATTAATGAGACTTTTTTAAGGAGTAAGTTTGCATAAAATGCAATGATCTGAATATCTTGCTAGAGATATTGTTGCCCCAAACCCAGTTGTTCAGGATTGAAACTTAGATTTTTGCCCTCACCCACACAGGCAGGCAAGACACCAGAATATAAACAGACAGCAAACAGCACTCCTTACTAGCACTGATGATGTTACCTAGTTAGGTTAATGAAACGTCTGCAAGAAAACAAGCTCAGAGAGCACCAACGACTCCTCATTTCAACCCCGAGCTACAAATATTTTCCTTTATTGGGGCTTAGATTTCAATCTGTTTAGTGAACTAAAACATTTCCTTTTCTGTAGAAAATTATTAGAAATCAAAATGTAGATTTAAGTAAAAGGATAAGGAATTGTGTGTGTGAATAAAAGTAGTCGGTTATTTCCCCTTTAAAGAGGAAAATTCTTAGCTGTTTTGCTTTTGGGTGTTTTTTGAGATTGGAAAAAGGTGATGATGAAAATTAGGGATGGAGAAGTATCAAGCTAAAATCTTACTGGGCCTAATAGTGGGGTGGGTTGTTTAGATGGGCCATTTAGTCGATGCTTTTGAGAATCATCAAAGCATACCTGGTTTTAGATGTATAAATTCATGATTTAGGAATACAGTTGACTTACGACTATCACTGGGACCAGAATTTCCTTTTCTGAGCAAGGTTGATGTTCTGAGTTGTCAGGCCCAATTTTGTGTTTTATTGGTCATGATTGCTAAGCAATTCACTGCGGTTGTTAAACTAATCACATGGTCATTAAGCAAATCTGGCTTCCCCTATTGACGTGGCTTGTTGGAAGCCAGCTGGGAAGGTCCCAAAGGCCAGTGACCTCAGGATGCTACAATCCATGCTAGTTACCAATTGCCCAAATTTTGATCACATGACTGTAGAGATACTGTCATGCCCCTATTAGAATCTGACTCCAAGGGAGAGGAGGAATAGCTGACAGGGAGTGGGAGTGTGGCTCCGGAGGAAGACCCAGGCTCATCCCTTCTTCCTCCTAGGGCATGCAGGGAGGAGCAGGTAAGGGAGAAACATAAATGGTGTGGTCTACAGGGGAGGAAAGGGCCTTGATCCCCTTCATGGGCTGCAGCTGTGAGGACTGTTTAAAAGGGCAAACTGCGCATGGGCCAGTGCTGGAAGCAATGCGTGAAAATATTTCTAATTTGTCAGTTCTTATCTGAGTTTTCTGGCATCCCTCCCAGTGTGTGTATTTTGATATCCGTGGACGTCTTCAAGCCCTTATCCTGCCTTGTCTCATTAATTGCTTCAGTGTGGTTTGTGTTGTTTTTTTTCCTATTTATAATTTATATGTATTCTGAGTTTGAACGGAATTTCTTCCTTTTTGCAACTGTTTGTGGGGGAGTTTTTTCTCCAGTCAATGATAATTGGAGCTTTGAAGCCAAGTTGAAAGAAGTAAAGGGACTTCACCTGTTTTTGTGACTGTGTTGCCTTTGGATCCCACCCTGGGTCATCACAGATACTGTGATAGATGTAAGTGTGAAAATGGGTATGGGTCATAAGTCACTTTTTTCAATACCGTTCGAACTTCAGACAGCTGCTAAATGAATGATTTTAAGTCTAGGACTACCTCTGTGTTTAATGATTAAATCTGACACCTGTACATCTCACTGTTTTGTGTCGTCCATAAAACAGGTTCCCTTATCCATCAATTCTCCGTTGACTGAAAGTCAAGAAAAAGCATCTGCCAACTATGACGAAACTGATACAAAACCCAGACTGAGTGATTCTGAAAAGCATTTTCAACAAACCCTTTCAGCTCTGGAAAGTAAACTCCGGACAGCAGATGAAGAAAAAGCTAGAATAAAAAAGGTATAACTACAAGTCAACAGAGTCTTCCATTCCTGTCTGTGTGGTTGTTGATCTAGTCAGGGGTGGTGAATGATGGCTCCTTTATGACCTGTGGACTTCGACTCCCAGAATTCCTGAGCCAGCCATGTAATGCTGGCTCAGGAATTCTGAGAGTCGAAGTCCACAGGTCGCAAAAAAGGCCATCGTTCCCCATCCCTGATTTCTAGATGGCGAGAGCACCAGCCCATTTTCTCCTTCTGGTCCTCTGGGGTCAGGGGTCGGCAACCTTAAACACTCCAAGAGCCACAAAGGTTATAACTAAAAGTCCCCAGTTCAATTTTGGAGCCAATTGGAAGTCCGGTTCCCTCATCATAGAGTCTCTTCTTAGCGTGGTGTCCTTTTTTCTCTGCCAACCAGAAGTCCGGTTCCCCCATCACAGAGTCTTCTCCAAGCATGGCATCCTTTTTCATCTACCTGTCCTAAACGAAAGCCCTATCAACTGTGGTGCCGACCAGTTACAGAGAACCATAGCAGAGGGATGAAAGAGCCACGTGCGGCTCCAGAGCTGTGGGTTGCCATCCCCTGCTCTGGGTCATGCTCACATTTCCTTTTGGCATCTTGACTGTAAATGAGTAATTTGTCGAACAAGGTGTGGGGAAAAAAAGGATGTTTCCGATTACTCCTTTTAGGTGTACTAGAAGGATATTGACAGATTTGAACACGAGGCCGTATCCAACAAAATGCAATTCATTGTTGAGAAAGTAAGGTCCAACCTTTAGGCAAGAAAAATCAAATGCACAGGTATAGAATAGATGGTATCTGGCTCAATAGCAGCAACTGTGAGGATCTAGACGTCCTAGCGAACAACCATTTAAGTTTGAGCCGGCCGTGTGTTGAAGTTGCCAAAAAACCCAACACATGCCTTGGCTGCATCAACGTGAAGTGTTAGTACTGCTTTATAGTGCACTGGAAACATCACACAGAGAGCAGAGAAGAGCAACAAGGATGACTCGGGGACTGGAGGCTAAAGCATACAATGAACCGTTGCGGGAACTGAATATTTCTAGACTAACAAAGAGAAGGACTAGGAGTGACATGATAGCAGCTGTCTAATATTTGACAACAGGGGGTTAACCCATTTTCCAAAGCACCTGTGAGCAGGACAAGAAGTAACAGATGGAAGCTAATCAAGGAGAGAAGCAACCTAGAACTAAGAAGAAATTTATTGACAGTGAGGACAATTAATCAGTGGAACGACCTGCCTGCAGAAGTTGTGAATGCTCCATCACTGGAGATTTTAAAGAGGGGACTGAAAAGACATTAGTCTGGGATGATATAGAGTTTCCTTGAGTAGAGGGTTGGATTAGAAGCCTAGAAACTCCCTTCCAACTCTTGTTATTTTGCCTTCTATTCTGTAAGTTGGACTCTGAATGGCAAGTGTAGCTGGTAATTATAAAAGAGATGTGTTTTAATATAAGTCATTTTTCTTTTAGGAGTTGGAAGATCTTTTGGAAAAACACAGGACTTTGGAAACCAATTACCTGAAAGAAAAAGATGAAAAATCGATTTCACATAAGGATATATACAACAAGCTCCAGGTAATGTTTTAAGATTTTTATCCACTGAGGGTGTTCTCGGTTGCACCGGTAATTTATAGGCCTAGCCATAAAGAAGGATACAACAGAAAATAAAATGCATCTGTTTAAAAAAGAACTAAGGGGTATATAACTAAATTAGAATAGTGTCTGTTATTCAGTTTACCTAGCAATTTGTATTGGTTGTAAAGTTTCATGTCTCTTTTAAAACATTGTAAACTGCTCTGAGTTATCCTACAGTAAGACGGACAGCCAATAAGTTTGATAAATAAATAAAAGACAACATTGTGTTTATACAACCATCTTTAAAATCCCATCACTGTATTAAGAACTAAAAGAAGCTATGTATTGGGGTCAATTTCTTTATATGGAAAAATACACACAGAAATGAGAAATACGAAGAGGAATCCCTATCAGAAAGTTATCATAACACAAGCCATGACAGATGGATTGGTTTTGATTCAGAGATTTATCCAAAGCTCCTGCCTTATAATCTACTTTAAACTCCAAGGAACCTTCATTGCTAAGGATCTTAGTCTGTGCTGGGGTTCATAATGAAGCTTGAGTCCAGATGAATAAGGGAATCAAACTTTTAGGAGCTTTGTCGCGTGTTTTCTTCGTGGAAGTAGAATGTGGGACATCTTCACTACTTCTAGGTTCCATTTTGGTTTTGCCTTCTCTGCTGTTAAGACCAGCACCTGCGACCACACAGCAAGTAAGTTGAAGAGTACAGCCGTACAGCTTGTCAGCAACTTCTTTTCAGCGAAAACAGCTGGCCCTGGCACTGCATAACTAAGAGAAAAACCAGCATGAATCAGGGATTTGGTATTTTTCCAAGATGAATCTGTAGGTACTCAGAGTCTTTGGAAATCTCACAATGAGTATGAAAAAAGGCAAAAGCTCTCAGGACTTTGTAGAAGTTTAGCTAATGTATTGTGGTGGAATACATTCATGTGGGCCAAAGAAACATGTAAGAAAAGTTACTTTTAACTAGTTTTATCCAGGATCAGAAGAGGTTCATTTTAATAGGACATGCTTCGTTTTCATGCAGCACCCCCGAACCATGTAAAATGAAAATCAGATTGAGTTCTTGTGGAAAGTTTCTGAATTCTTTTCAGGTATAAGTGCTCTCCATTTTGGCTAATCAGTTGCGCAGATGTGGCTCCTTCTGATAGGAGTTAGTCACGCGTGCTTACTCCAGCGTTTAAGTCTCCAATATTTACTATATGCTTGCACAGTCCGCCTACATCTCCCAGAAGGAACATTGGAAAATTTTAAGTCTAATTTTTCAATTGTAAAATCCGTTCCAAAACCGATACATGTATATATTTAGAATCTCAGCAAGATCGTGTTCTTGAAAAACAATGCAACTTATGCGGTTTGGGCTTCTCTTTCAAACATAGTTGCAATATTTTTCTTTTAGCATTGGCAATCATTGTCTCCTTTTCTGAATTAAACTCAAATCCTGGATTTGATTTTGAAGCCTTAAGTGTGTCTTTATACTCCTGCCACCCTTCTTCTTTTCCCTCACAACTTAAAGTTGGAAGAATTCCTGCTCCAATTCACTATATCCCTGTTATAATTAGGAAACAATGGCAAGAAATGATTCAGAAGAGCATCATCGTTGCTGACATTTAGCACAAAAATAGCCCTGGATTTCTTTATTCTGAACAATCACATGTATTCAGGGATTGAGTTGCTAACTGATAATATAGAGAAGATAGAGCCAGCCGCACAAAGTTTTAATGTATATTTGCGTGAGAGAAGTTAAGTTACTCAAAGGAACTAAAGAACAGCAAAATCCTGAAGCTCTCAGTCACTCTGTACTGAATACAAAATAGGGATTGAATCAGGAGAGAGAAGGAACCACTGCAGGAAGAGAATTTTGCATATTAAAAATACATATTCTGTCAAGATACTAATTGGCTGATGAAAGTGAAAGTTGAAGAGTCACCAATTAAAAATTATCAATTTAAATTTATTAATTGATTACATATAAATAAAGTCACCTGTTTGAGATAATTGCAAAAATGTATATCTTCTAATTGAGGGGATGCAGTGGCTCAGTGGCTAAGACGCTGAACGTGACAATGAGAAATAAAAGTTGGCAGGTCAGCGGTTCGAATCCCTAGTGCTGCGTAATGGAGTGAGCTCCCGTTACTTTCCCAGCTTCTGCCAACCTAGCAGTTCTAAAGCATGTAAAAATGCAAGTAGAAAAACAGGGACCACCTTTGGTGGGAAGTTAACAGTGTTCTGTGCGCCTTCAGCATTTAGTCCTGCCGGCCACATGACCACAGAGACGTCTTTGAACAGCGCTGGCTCTTCAGCTTTGAAATGGAGATGAGCACCACCCCCTACAGTCGGGAACGACTAGCACCTTTGCTTTTACCTTTATCTCCTCCAATTAATTGGAAAACCACAGAGTTGTTAAAAGGAAAATTAATTAGAATCAATTTAACTTCTTTTTAGATCTGGACATGATTGTAACATATCAAAAATAAAATTGTCTCAAACCACATCAAATAAATTGAATTAAATCAACTTGAGTATAGAGGCCTTCAAAATAAAAGTTGTTTCAATCCGCTTTTCTCCAAACAAGTGTTCTTCTTTATTGAAGAGTATAATGGGAGAGTATAATGCAACTTTTAGTGTGGTGCTTTGTTCTCAGTCAACAAAACATTGTTTAATGCTCAAGAACCACACAGAACCATTGTTCTTGAGAAATTATTCCTTGGCATTATGTGCTAAATTGAGAACATTTGAGAACTTTATGAAGCAGCTGCTCCGTCAAGTTCCGAATCTTATTCCCACTTATAGGAATCTGAATTTTTGATTCTGAAGTAGCGATAAAGATGATGTAGGAAGGAGGACACAGTAGGGGAAGCCATGAATGATGAAAGATTGGTGGAATGTTTTATTCAAGGTTACGAGTATGATTCCAAACGATGCATATTTTGAAAAGTGGGTCTGCTGTTATCACTTCTGGTCACAATATTATAAAAAAGATGTTGAGAGTCTGGAAAGAGTGTAGAAAAGAGCAGCAAAGATGATTAGAGGGCTGGAGGCTAGAACACGTGAAGAATGGTTGTGAGAATTGGAATGTCTAGCTTAAAAGGACTAGGGGCGACATGATAGTGTTCCAATATTTGAGGGGCTACCACAAAAAAGAGGGGGTCAACTTAGTTTCCAAAGCATCGGAAGCCAAGACAAGAAAGAATGGATGGAAACTAGTCAAGGAGAGAAGCAACTTAAAATTCAGGAGAAACTTCCTGACAGTAGGAACAGTTAACCAGTAAAACAACTTGCCTTTAGAAGTTGTGGGTACTCCATCACTAGAGGTTTTCAAGGAAAGATTGGATAGCCATTTGTCTGAAATGGTATAGGGCAAGGGTCTTCAAACTTGGCAAGTTTAAGACTTGTGGACTTCCTGAGCTAACATGACTAGAGAAGGAATTCTGGGAGTTGAAGTCCACAAATCTTAAAGCTGTCAAGTTTGAAGATCCCTGTTATAGGGTCTCCTGCTTGAGCAGGGAGTTGGGCTAGAAGTCCTCCAAGATCCCTTCCAACCCTGTTATTCCAAGTCTAAGTCCGGAACACCTAAGCTGAAGGTAAAGGTTCCCCTCGCACATACATGCTTGTTGTTTCCGGCTCTAGGGGGCAGTGCTCATCTCCGTTTCAAAGCCGAAGAGCCAGCGCTGTCCGAAGACATCTCCGTGGTCATATGGCCAGCATGACTAAATGCCGAAGGGGCATGGAACACTGTTACCTTCCCACCAAAATGGTCCCTATTTCTCTACTTGCATTTTTTCATGCTTTCGAACTGCTAGGTTGGCAGAAGCTGAGACAAGTAACGGGAGCTCCCTCGGTTAAGTGGCGCTAGGGATTTGAACCACTGAACTGCCGACCTTTCTGTTCGACAAGCTCAGCGTCTTAGCCACTGAGCCACCGCATCATTCCCATTCCGGAACACCTAGATTGCCCTTAATAATTGAAGTACGTAGGATGATCTTCTGTAGGTTGGTAGATCTAAATACAAGACGCTTGGTAAGGTAGCTGGGGTGTGTATCTTGGAGGTAGGTGATTTCTGCAAGGAAAAATACTAAAAAATGTATGTGGTTTTCTTTTTTAAAAGTAATATGACTTGCATCCTGTTAAATACCATCTTCTAACAAAATATTTAGGTTGGTTTTAGGTGCAGACATAGAGGAGACAGAACCCGAATAATGAAAAATAGTGTTAAAAATCTACTATATCTCCCTGTGAATTTGTAGATGAGATTCCTGGAATATTGTCAAGTTGAGGAAGAGCTTGGAATTATGCTGTGCCAGTGGGTGGAAATTTACTTTTTTAGTCACCAAAGTGGGTTTTGGCTGTTTATTTGGAGAGATTTTATGTTTAAGATAATACCCTCCTGCCTATTTCCCTATTCAGTTTTTCTGCCAGGGCTCTGTGCTGTCAATTCTTCATCTTCCCTTTTTTACATTTTACTCTACAACAGGGGTTCCCAACCTGGGGTGCTCGCACCCCCTGGGGGTGCGAGACGATATTCCAGGGGGTGCGAGAAAAGTCCAGGTAAATAATAGGATATTGGCTATATGTTAGCATTTTTATTTATTATGCAATGGATTAACTTTGTTTTCATTTTTGAGTTAAGTATCGTTATTTAGTGGCCGTCACATACATAGCTGAAAAGATTCAATCCTACCATATATTTAACGCGTTCCATAGTTCCTAAAGTCTAAATTTCAGGGGGTGCGAGGTTCGAGTGAAATTTCTTTAGGGGTGCGGGGCGAAAAAAAGGTTGGGAACCATTGCTCTACAACATTGTCCTTTGAACCACTTGGAACTATGAAACTGCTCAACCAGCACAAGCGGAATTGAATAAAACAGATCAGAAGTCTGTTGATGGAAACTAACCAAGGAGAGAAGGCACCTAGAACTAAAGAGAAATTTCCTAACAGTGAGAACAGTTACCCAGTGGAACAGAAATTGTGTGTGCTCCA